GACGTGCACAGCCCTCCATTCAAAAACAATGGATATTCAAAGACAGGATGATCACAATCAACTACACATATATACAGAATTATATACAGAATTATACACAGTATATACACATATTTTTGCATGTCAATGCTCTATGCATCGTTGAATCCACTGGTGTGGTGATTTAAACTTGTGCTCCTTGATTCATCCAGTGCTTTCCTGGCAGGAAGGCATCCTAGGAGATCGAACCTACGTTGCTCCTTGGACATCCTTGGACCGTCGGTGTCGTCATCTTCACGTGGGCCATTGACCACAGGTAGGATGGAACTGTTGCAACTCTTAGCCTATAGAATCTATAGATGTTTCAGGTACCTTCGGTACAGTTTGTTTGACTGAGAGGGCAACAAGTGGGTGTGATATGGGCAAAGAATGCAAGAAAAAGGGTTCCAACAGCAGGAGTTCACCTCACATGTCAAGTATCCGATGAAAAAGGTAGATCGGAGACATTACTTGACATCTGTTGATTGACATTAATTCCCAGGGAAGTCCCCCACAGAGTCCCCGACAGAGTTCGCAGTGGCATCTCTCACGGAGGTCGCTGCTGGTGGTCGTGCGCTGACGCAGCGTGAGGCCCCGCGTTTGAGTGAGTTGGCAGCGAGGCTCCACGGCGATGTGCTGCAAATGGCCACCACCTTCAGTGACGATACCTTGGAGGCACAGCGGTCATGTGCTGAGCATGACATTGCCGTTGAAAAATGGTGCTTGGAAATGCTTGGAATATCAATAGGTCCAGTGACACACAAAGACTATGAAGGCGCATATCATGAATTATTTTGGCATTGCCATCTGTGTCTGATTACATCTCACAGACCTGTGGCGTTCTTTCCGCAGACGCAGTTGGCTGCTGTTTCGGAATCATCAGAGTCTAGATGAGGCGACCTATGAAGTCACGATCCATTTGCATTTCTCAAGTCTGATGTAATCTGCGTCCTCCCTGAATCTCTAGACATTTGTCCCCAGCCGATTTCAGCTCGATCCTCCCCGCTCTCAGGTGCCTTTAGGCCAGGAGTCGCCGAATGCCTCGATGCGTTCAGCCAGAGATCTTTAGTTGTGATACTTTCGATAGAGTTCTTGATTTGCCAGCAGCTCCAAGCATTGGCAAAAAATATTCTTTTACTGTCAGCCTAGGGTCCTGATTTCAGCATCTTATCTGAGTTGACCTCTATTGTTCGGTCACTGTGCTCTGTGTTCAGGACCGCATGGTCTTGGAGTGGGGCCATGAGGGTTGCCGTGTGGGTTGCTGGGAGAATGACCAGCGCCTGAGAGGCAAAGCTGGTGCCAGTGATGAAGCAGGAGATGCATCTGCTGCGCTCTTTGGGACCCCAATCCTGGGCAAAGATCAAGGCCAGGGCAACGGAAAGACTTCAGGGAACATGTCAACCATATTGTAGAGCTTCGCACACTGGCCTTGCCATAAGGGCTGTTGTTGTTATTGTTGTTGTTGATGATGTTGATGATGATGTTGATGATGATGTGGTAGTCAAAACATAGTGATGGCTTTGACCATCAGAACACCTTTCTTTGTTCATGTCATTTTTCCTATTCTGAAGCACCTTAGAAATCCCTATAGAGATGGTGCATGTTGGTAAACCAATAGTCTTTGCAAAGTTCCTGTAGGTTCACGCTTTTCCTGCCAATTCCCTGTTTTTGTTGGTGAAACCAGAAGTTTTGAAAGCATTGTGCACATTGCTGTCCCCATGTGGGAGAGGTTCAATCCCTCGATGGGTTTGATGACCTTTATATGTCTACATTGTTGGCGATGCTTGTCCAACGGATTTCATGTGATACAAGCCAGTATGTTTTCATGTAGTAATGTAGTACAAAAAATACTTTGATATAATATGGGAATACACACTACTTTTAGTAGTATATATTTGCATCATAAATAGAGTTATAGTTATATCTATATGTGCAAATTAAGAGAATATATAATATATCTATATATATATACACATACCATCTGGTTTTACATATGTGTAGACACATTTACATCCCGTGCTATATCTCCAATTTCATTTTTGTCTACCAATTTCTTTAATCATGTTGTCTCGGTAGCCGGGTTCACTCCACAGCCGTACCACAAAAAATAACATGAAGATGGATCTAACAATCAAGGTTGCATAGGAACATCTACAGGAAAACATGGGGTTAACAGACATTTTACGGGTTTTCGATAAATGGACGGAAAACCAACCGAACGACCCGAAACTTGGAAGATAAACAGTGATAAACCACACTAAACCAAGGTGATCCAATTGTTTCTTTTGTTTTTTGTGTCCTTTTCCTCCCAGGTGATGCTGCTGCCAAGTGGCTCTCCCGTGCACTGAACCCAGTGAAACCGCGACTCTTGCGCCGCGTGCGCAGCTGTGGCCGCAGCGCTGCAGGGCGGCACTGGCCGGGCCTGGGAAATTTGCAAATTTCACGGGTCACGATGTTTTCGATGGTGTTTTTGTAACAGATGGTTTGTTAATGTTTGTTATTTTGTTTGACACTGGTGATAATATGACATACATCATCTGGTTGGATTATGTTTGATTTCTGCTTGCTTAACATTATGCAGCCATTGCCCCGGCCTGATCATCAACATGCTGGAACTTGTGGTTTTCGGTCACCCAGATCTAGGGCTGACATCGCTCCTTTGCTCGTGATATCTACCGCGTCTTTGGAAGCTCTGGGTGAAAGTGCTCAGCGCGCAATTCCGATGGAAACTTGGCCGACGGCTTTGGTGGCTGTGCTGAGTACATTGGTACGTGCACCATAAATACCAATGTAGTACTAGCATATAATGTGTTCTGCTTTGACGCGGACATGCATAGCTAACTCTGGGTGATTTCAGTTCGGCTAGCTCGAAATAGGTCTTGTTCATTTTTGACAACTGTCATCCTGCAACAGTAGCTGAGCAACAGATGAGGGATGTGAAGTTCAGGATAATTCAGGCATGGAGTCTTTGCTGCGTTTTCTTTTTGCATTGAAGAAGAGTATCGGTCAATCCCGTCACTCCTTTCCAAGTGAGTTAGAGTTCACAATGTTGATTCAGAGCAGAAGTTGAACACCATGAGTCACGTGTTTCTGTGCAACATGAGTTGTTATTGATGCCGATCATGTGCACCACTGAGGATCGCTTCAGGCCAAACATTGTGTTGGAAGGCTGCGACCCTCACGCAGAAGATGTATGGAAGCAGATTCAGATTGGTCGGGTACTCACATTCAAAAAAGTTTAAATTGGAATTACACTCACGATTCATTTGATTTTGTATGTTCAGAAACGTGTTTTCAAAACGGCGTCGTTGGTCCCTTGGATCTTTCAGCATTTGAGGTGATGTACAGCTACAGGCTTTGGGCCCGTGTGGTCGATGCACTATTGTGGAGGTAGCACAAGGACAAGGAAAACGCTGCTGGGTCGCGAGATCGGAACGCGCATGAAATCTGATAGAAGTCTGATAGAAGGACATATTTGGACATTGTGGTTTCAGATGTTTCAGTGCAGGGTGGTCCTCGAATGTCGTGGAGCCAGGTAAAAGTGGCAGAAAAATGGCATCCACCTCAGCTGAGGCGATGAGATTTCTGTATACGGAGCACTGGTGGCGTATCGCGGCCAAGCAGTCTTTGGACAGCGACTCGGACCTGTCCCAGATGCACCGCAAGACAGCTCGCTGCCAGCGGCCTTTATCTTCGATGTCATTCCAAAATGTTTGCTTCGAGTGCAAGTTTTATGTCCAACGAATCGATCGTCCCCTATTGGATCTTGTACCTAAAGAATGTCTCTGAACAAATGTGAAAAGCAGGGTGCACGGATGCACTTTGATGTTTTGAATCTTCTCAGTTTCTGTTGCCTTGCTTTTGGAGTTGAGGTACTATCGACCTGTCCCACAATCAGGAGATCCATCTGCCTCCAAGCGACCTTCGCTTGAAGTGGGCAGCAAAGTTGAGATCTTGGCGTGAGAAAATGCTGTCCGAGAGTACCTCTTGCTGCTGAAGCCACAACATCCCTTGATGCTCTCACAGTTCACTGTTTTTCCACAAAGTGTGTAGTTTCTTTGATCCACCAAGCACGGAGTGGTGGTTTGCACAACAGCAAGAAATAGCGAAATCAGGGTGCTAATGATGATGTTGATATGAGGTTGATGTTGATGAGGATGTTGATGATGATGTCTTTGTTGATCCAATGAAAATGTCGAAGATGATATTCATTTTGATATTGATGAAGATGTTGATGATGAGGATGATGATGAAAGTTTCGTTTTGGACCCTTTTCAATTCTGTCAACAGCGGGAGCCGCTCACATGCCCGGCAACAACAACATGCAACGCTTAAATTACGCTGCCTACATCACACTGTACAATCTGCACAGAGGGTCTACTGTACAGAGAATCTGTGCAAAACTAACATCTTTCAGAGCCACTGTCGTTTCTTTCATGTCTTTCATGTCTTTCATCCGGTGATGTTCCGATGCGAGGCTCAGCACTTCTCCTTGGCCCAGTGGCTTCGCAACGAGATGTCCACTGCGAAGCTCAGCTCCTGTGAAGTCTTAGGACTTCGGGAGGCACGGCACGTCGGCCTATGGTTGCATATCAACGGTTAGGTAGGTTTGGGATAAGCAGCTGACTCTCATGATGCATGTTCTAACTCGATCGTTTCCCTTGCGCTCTATATATATTATAATATCTCTCTCGAGTTTATTATATATATATATATGGAGTCTCCTTTTATTTTATACCAAGTGCAGTGTCCTGATGTGATCACTAAGGACTCGATGCGGTCGTTTGCTATTTTGGCACAAAGAACGAGTGATCACAGTCAGGCCACAGCTCTTTTTGATCAAAGAGGATCGCTGTTTTTAGGGCCTGGGACTGGATCACTTAAGTATGTCTTTTCCTCCTTGTAGCCCGGCTCCATTGGAACGTCAGAGAGCCATGGCAGCTGCTCGAGCCAGTGTTGGAGGTGATCACCTTGCACCTGAGGACAGTGCCTCACAGGTGTCCTGGAGTGTGGTCGTGGATGAACAGCGCAATGTGGAGCCTGTTCAGGAAGTGCCAATGCAGTTCCCTGAGCCTAAGGCACCACCGCCCGGGTTCAGACACCAAGGTGAGCCGGCTCCTGGCTATGCAGCCCAAGGACAGGATCAACCCAAGAGTCGTGTGTCAAGCTCAAGCGGAAGTGCACCCTTCCCACCTGCTGATGCGGCTCTCTTTTTCACTGACCCTGCTCAAGCCCCTGCTCAAAGTGCTGCTGCTCCAGCTACTCAGGCAGCACGTGATTTGCTTGGAAGCGCTCAGAAGCAGGCAGCTCGCCTGGCAAAGCAGAAAGCTCAGGCAAAGAGGCGTGGTCATCGTGCAGTTAGGTGGGGACAGATGCCTGGCCTTGATGCTCAGAATTTCCAGCTCCCAACGTTCATCAGGCAGTTGGGTGCTGGCCAAGATGAACGATCAGTGCTTGTGATTGATAGCCGCGATCGGCGCATTCAGTCCCCCTACCAGGGATGGCTGCTGGACGAGATCTTGCTGAACGCCCAGTCTGGAGTGAACGTCCTGGTCGATCGACAACTTGTCAGATCGCCAAACAAGGGCTACCACCTCAACTTGTTCTATGTGAGGACGATGGACGGGTTCAAGTTCATCTTGGTAGGATCAATGACGTCTTACGGGACGGTGCCAGCAGCTCGCTGGGATGCAGACACGGGGAAGATCATGGCCCACCCGGCCTTTCAACCTTTTCGTTGGCCGATGATGACTGACGAATCTGCAACCTGGGTCGATGTGAAAGTCAAGGTTGAAGGAGGTCTTCTTCTACACCTTGAGCTGCGCGGCTACTGATCGAACACTGACATGACGGTTCAGATGAACTACGTCAATGATGCTCTCATGGCGAACCTTAGGGACTGCCTTTTTGTGCCGTCCTGCATCGTCACGGTGTTCCACGGATGGAGGGTGGTGGCAACCTCGTTCGAGGTGGGAGGGCGTCTGTACGCCTGCAGTGATAGTGGGACGGTCGTGGCCCTGGACTTTCCTTTGTGCCACTTTGAAGTCCGGCTCACTGCGCTCTCTTCCACGGACTCGATCGGGATGGATGCAGACCGCTTAGAGTTCCGATTCAGGTCATCCGGTGATCAGCTGGACGTTGCATGTTCTCAGGTGGTGGTTCCATCAACTTGGCTGGTTGTGTCGCGTGTGTCTGGGCCCACCTTGATCAAGAATGCTCGTTGGTGTCGTGAGCATCATGCAAGGGTGGAAGGCCCTGATCAGACCATGCAATTGTCACAGCTAGCCGGGATCCATGCACACTGGACTGCATCGATCGAAGCAGAGTCCGTTGATGACACGGGTCCGAGGGTGAGTGCGGTCGCGGTGGATTCTCGCCCGGCCAACTATCACCTCACCTGTGAGTCTCCCTTGTTCAGGGCAGCGAAGTCGTTGGTGCCAACCGATGCACTGGCTCTGCAGGCGCACAATGTGGCTCTGGAACAGGAGACGATCGTGCTCCCGCCAGTGACGGGTGGGCCATCAGTGGTGCCAAGATCATCAGTTGCGGCCCCTCTGCAAGCATTGGCTGGACCGTCGGCTCCTGCACTGGTTGTGGCGCCCAATGTTCAAGCCGAAGTCTCCATGACTGAGCCGGGTCAAGCCCCAGCCTCGGGAGCCATGGGAGGCTCGGTACATGTGCAAAGGCGATCGCTTGAAGCTCGCCAACAAGAGAGGATCTCAGTGGCAGCCGTGACGCCACAAACTTTTCTTGATCAGGTGTATCAGGCGGTCCCGGGACGCCCAGTCAGTTTTGGACCGGCTCCGACCGTTGAAGAAGTGACGGAGACCTGACCTTGATCAAGAAGTTTGAAATTCACCGAGTTTGCAAGGTGGCGGAATGTATCAGGCCGCAGCACGATCGCTGGCCGAATGCTCTGAAAAATCATTAGCTGCTGCGAGAGCTGTGCAAACACCCTCAGTTTAGGTCTCTTGTTTTCCCGTTGTTCACCCTGGTTTTTCCCCGTTTTGGTTTGGTTTAACTTGGGTCAATGGGTTTCCTAGGGACCTAATTTCTGAGGTGTTTGCTCTGTGAGACCCCACAATTGTGAACGGGTGGGATTTGATCACATCCAGCTCGTTCATGGGGACGGCTCCCATATTTTCCACTTGGCCCAGGCGAGGGCCCCAGTTTGCTCGGCTGTGGGATCTCAGACCGGACGTGATGTTAGAGCGACTGTTCCGATATGGGGTATGATCTCCATAGCTCTGGTCAGTCATCTTTCTCTGTCTGGTCGATCGACCACATAAAGCTGTCAAGCTTTTGCATTTATGATTTTGGTCACGATTTATGCATGATACAAGTTGATGTATTTCGTTCATTTGATTTTAATTGCTCTTTGACGCCACGCCTGTGACACCACCTCATGCAGTAGTTCACACATGTTTGCATGTTCATGCTTTTGAGGCGTTAAGGTTCGAGGTGCAATGATTGCTCTCTTAACCGACTTGACACTCTCATGTGTGCACTGTTCATGTTGTGTGGGGGTTCACAGGGAAGTCATGGCTCAAAGTTCTGATCGCTGGACATCTAAGATTTTGTGTCTTCCAATTTTCTCTGATGCCTTCGCTCAGGCGCTGTTGGCTTCACCTTATGCCAACTTGGCGCTGGTGTCAGCGATGGAGGTGCGATCGGGCCCGGAGTTCACCGTGAAGGTGCACGACTGGTCAGCATCCCTAGAGGAGACCGTTCGTGATGTTTTGCTCAGCAACAGTTTTATGCTGGAACAGTTTTGGAGTCTAGCTACTTCGATCGAGAAGGCATTTTTCGAATCCTCTGCAAATCAGCTGGGTTTCGGGCAGTGCGATCCGACTACTTTGGCGTTGAGTGCCGAGACCGCTAGTGCTCGTAGGGCTAATGCCATCAAAGCTCTGTTGCACAAGCCGGCTCAACCGCCCAGGAAACTGCTCAAGAAGTCTGATTCGGATCCGACGTCCACACCGCTGTTGGACCAGGAGAATGCCGCTCGGTGGAAGTGGGCTTCTAAACTGGAGGCCACAGGGAAACGGGCGGGTCAACACTCCAAGCTCTTGCTGGATACCACCAACAGCGAAGGGCTCTCGCCGGGTGAGACCGCTCGGCTACGCCAATTAGTGTTGGCATCGGGGGCTCCACGGACTATGTCGGCCCACATCTCCGCATGGGAGCGGTTCGAGGAGTGGGCCAATAGTGTTGGGATCCCCGTTTTTCCTTGGCCTTCTGATTTGATTCTGAAGTATGCTCTAGCTCTTGACGAGAAAGAATGTGGTCCCACAGTTTTGCCTTCTTTTAGGATGTCAATTAAGTGGGTAACATCTAAACTGGCGATCGACTGCCCTGATTTGTCCCATCCCGCTCTCTTGGCGGTTCAGTCGGACGTCATTCAGAAAAGGGCCACCACATTGAAAGAAGCCCAGCCCATCCCGATCGTGGCGGTCGGAAGTCTGGAGCAGTTCGTCACAGACGTGCAGCAGCCAGAGGCAGCTAGGCTCTTTGCATGGTGGTGGCTCTGCATGGTCTTCGCATCGCTGAGGTTCGACGATGCCATGCATGTCAGGCCAACTGAGTTGATCATGAAAGACGAAGGGCTCTTTGGCGTCGCTTGGCAGACGAAAGTCGAGCGCAAACGCCGTGGCACGAAGTTCGTAGTGCCGAGAGTTGGCTTTCGTGATTCAGCCTGGCTTGACGTTGGCTGGGACCTTTTGCAGCTCGAAGATTTGGATCGTGACTTCTGGATGAGAGACTTGAACACCCAGACGGAGTTCAGGTCTGCACCAGCTCAATATCAACGTTCCATTCAGTGGCTGCGTTTCATTGGCAAGCTCGCCATCAAGACCTACTTTAGTGGGCCTGAGGGTAAGCTCAATGAGGCCGTGGACGGGTTGCTCAAGGTCACAGCCCACTCAGCTCGGGTCACCATGTTGGACGCTGCAGTACATGCTCGTCGATCGACGGAGGAGATCGGACTGCAAGCGAACTGGAAAAATCCGGGTCCTCTAGTGTTGAAATACACCAGGAACCGGACCAGCGTACCAGCTCAGATGGTTCAACAGCTGGTCAAAGACATGGTTGACAATGAGCACCCGTTCGAGGCTGAAGAGGATGTCGTGCTCGACTCCGTAGATGAGACGGCTCTCAATGAGGTGCAGTTCTACGTCAAGACGGAAGGCGCTCGTGCCTCCCATGACTATCGATATCACTGCTCGAAAGAGGAGGACGATGAGATGGTCGCATGTGGCAAGCTCGCCGTCCGTGACTGCACTGCCGTTGGGGCCGCCCTGCCAGATCCTTCCGTGCTCTGCAAGCAGTGTGCCAAAGCTCGACCAGATGTGGCTTCACGATGCTTCTCTGCTCAGAGCGGAAGTGTTCGGGCATGAGTCTCAGCTGCAATTTTGCTTTTGGAAGGTGATTTATTTGTTTTGTCAATGATTTTCAATTTGCATTTTCCGATGATAATCTCAGTTTGGCTCTAAGCTATTACACAATTAATCATGGTGGATCGCACCGTGTACACCCCGGACAAGTTGCCGGAGCTCCCATTGCGGCAGATCTTTGGTCGGCAACGAGTTCCGGAAGACTTGTGCCGGCTCGTGGCTGATGTGGGTCTCCGCAGCGTGGAAACGTTCGCCATGCTGGGGGACACGATCACAACGGTCAAGCAGACCTTGAAAACGATCATACCAGATTCTGCTCGTTTCGGCGATGATGCGCCGGCGCAGGAGCTTGCTCTTACAGCTCTGGCGGCCGTCTGGAAGCAGTGCTCCACCATGCAAGATCACTTCGCAGCTCGGCGAGCCAAAATGGAAGAAGACCCCAGCAAGGTCCCAGAGATTCCAGGCGAAGATCATGCTGAGTTTCGTGACACGTTCGTGGCTCGTCACCCTGACGTGCTCTTGCCCATGCATCGAGAGCCTCATCGGAAGTTTGTCGAACGTGTTCAACGAGACTACTTGGTGCATGGCTTTGTTCATTTCTACGAAGTCGGCGAGATCCGCACCAGGAATGAGCAGATCGCTCAGAAATCTGGGCTCTCCAAAAATGCAGAGGATCTCTTGCGTGTGGTGATGGTAGATCAGCCTAGTGCGGCTAGTTCAGAATCTCAGGTGATGGACAAACTGCATGCGTTCTTCATTACCTTAGAATACTTGAACATCTGTGAGTTCTCCGTGGCAGCCGGGCCCCTGAAATACTTGTCTGATCTGGAGGAGTGGCGCCATGAGAACCGTGGCCTGGCCTTGCTCTTGGCGGCTGATGCGTTGATCCGCAAGAAAGTTCATCGAGTGAGCTCTGATCAGCGCAAGACATTTGGCACGTTCTCTGCCGCCTTGCTTGAGGTCTTGACCAACCACAAACAGCTGTGGAATGACGCTCGATCAAGCGCAGAGTTGGACAAGTTCAAGCAGGTGCTGCAGACTACGGCGCCATCTACACCGTCAAAGAAGCGCTCCAGATCTCGCTCGCAGTCAGCCCCAAAGGCTTCACCCAAAGCTCGAAAGAACAGGGCTCGTCGTGAACGCCAGAAGGCCTTGCTCAAGAAAGCTAAGGTTGGTCACGCCTCAACGCCACCTCCCAAGTCGGATCAGGCCAAGAAACCCGCTCGAGATGAACGGGTCCCGGCCCACGAATGGCAGAAGATTACTTCGTTCAAGTATCAAGGAGCCAAGCGATGCCCTTTCTTCAACTGCTCACTGGGTTGCCGCTTTGGTGATCACTGCCGCCAGAAGCACAGCTGTGTGGAATGTGGTAAAGATCACCCGTGGCACGGCAACCACTGAGCTCGGCCCAACTTTGAGGGGGCCTCACTGGAAGCGCCCCCCGGTCAATGGAGCTGTCCAGCCACAGTGTGTTATGATGGCTTGTCGGCATCTGCGCCGTCCGGTCGGAAAACGGCTGATTCTGAGCCGTTCACTGTGCCTGGTTGGTCCCAGTTGACCGAAGATTTCACCATTTTGCGCTCGCATGGCCCATTTTTCCTGGAAATTTTTGCTGGCCAAGCAGGCATCACAGAGGCTGTTCAGCTGATGGGTGTGCCTGCGCTGCCGCCAGTGGATGTGGTTGTCTCTGATCTGGTCAGCGAAGCAGCCGATGTGTTGGATCTGGCAGTGTGGGAGACTATCATGGCAATCATTGCTATCATTGCTGCCAGGCTGGTCTTCTTGCTCCATTGTGGCACCCCGTGCAACACCTTCACTGCAGCTCGCAAAGATGATGGAGGACCTCCTCCACTGCGCTCTCGCGATGCTCCTCTTGGTCTTCCAGGACTCAGTTGGCAAAACCAAGCTCTTGTTTTTATGGGTAATCTGTTTTTGATCCGAACGTGCGAAGCTTGTACTCTTGTTTTTAATCTTGGAGGGAATTTCACGATCGAAAACCCCCTGTTGAGCCTCATGTGGGCTACGACAATGATGGACCAGCTCGTCCACGACACACGAGCTCTGGCTGTTGATTTTGATCAATGTGCCTTTGGGGCTCCGTCCAAGAAGCCCACACGTTTGTTGTGCTCAGCTGAACATTTCGAGGTGCTCCAGGTACTTTGTCCAGGAGGGCACGTGCACGAGTCTTTGAGAGGCAAAGTGTTCGACCCCCTTCAGGGCAAACTGGTGTTCAAGACCAAGGCTGCGCAGGTCTATCCTTGGGCTTTGTGTGCGGCGTTCGCCAGCGTTGCTCACGATCTATGGCAAGACCCTCTTCATGCTCTACAACCTTCGCTGCAGCTGACCACGCCCCCTGCGGATCGCAAACGCGAAGTGGGCTCCTGCAAACCGTGGCTCGGACACAAGCAGGAGGAGTCGGCTCTCAAAGCGCTCTGGGCGGGTTATCAGCTGAAGCGGGGTGCGGCCAAGCCTTTGTTGCATGTGGAGATGGAACCTGGCCAAGCGATCGAGGCGGCCTTGAACGTGATCCACCCTTTCACCATCGAGGCTCCTCTGGCAGCGATGGAAGAAGCAGCCGTCCTCCAACTTCGGCGCCCGTCTGAGGTGATCATGGCTGAGCGGGCGCGGTTGCTACAATTTTGGCATGCTCAGGCAGTGGCTTTATTGCCCCACTCAGTGGCGGCGATCCGGGCGCTGCCCGATCCCCATCTGCGGCGTCTGCTCCTTGGCACTGACGACCTTTCCGTGCCGCGCCTTGGTCAAGTTTGCCACGTCGCATTGTACGAGGCTATGCTCATGGCGTGCGGCTCGGTGGATCAGTCATTGCCCTCTTTTCTCTTGCACGGTTTTCCGATCGTTGGTGAGATCGCTCGCTCTGGTCGATGGCCTCCCTACAATAAGCCCCAGAAAGACATCCCGGTGCAAGACGCATTGGATAGGGCCTGGGTTCTTCGGAAGAAGATCATCCAACGTGTTCAATCAGTACAGATCTCTGACAACCTTCAGAAGATTTGGGATGCATCGATCGAAGATGTTGAGGAGAAATCGTGCTTGGGCCCCTTTGTGTCTGAAGAGGAGGTCACGAAAGCTCTTGGGTGCGACGATTGGATCCCAACTCAGAGATTCGAAGTTGTTCAGAAGAATAAAGTTCGTGGTTGTGACAGCGCCACGACAAACATGATCAATCAGATCACCCGGATCTCGGAGAAGCTACAACTGCCTTCTACAGACACGAATGTCGCAGCTCTGCGCAAGTTGAGAACGATCAAGCCTGGCGTGAAGCTGGCAGGGTGGGTGCTCGACGAGCGCAAAGCCTATCGGCAAGTAGCGGTGCGACCTGATCACCGGAAGTTCTCTGTTATTTGCTTGAAGAATCCGAAGACTGGTGCTCCCAATTTCTTCATCATGATAGGTCACTCATTTGGCTTGGTCTCAGCTGTATACAACTACAATCGCCGATCGGCGGCCATTAACGAGTTCTTGGTCTCGCTGTTCGGCTTAGTGGCTTTCAGCTTCTATGACGACAAATATGGTTTTGAACCTCTGGCGATCGCGGGAAGTGCTCGTGCAGTAGCTGAACATGTTCATTTCTGGTTAGGTGCGAAGTTTGATCAGAAGAAATTGCAGCTATCTACAGAGCCCACGATCCTAGGGGTGACTTACAACCTTGATCAGATGCAGTTGGAGATCAAAGCTGAGCGGAGAGAAGAGATCACCCAGGAGATTGAAGCGATCGTGAAGGCAGGCATTCTAGACCCTGGCTCGGCGGGGAAGTTGAAAGGTAAGCTCATGTTTGGCGCTTCTCAGCTCTGGGGAAAAGTTGGACGAGCTTTTCTGAGGGTCATTTCTGAGCGCCAATACCTTCGTTTCCCGATCGGTAGTGAGTTCAAACTAGATCAACCTCTGCTCGAGTCTTTGCTCCACTGGAAGAAATTGGTCAATGAGGGACCGCCGAGGCCGATCGAATCAGCTTTAGCTAAACTAGTGGATGCAGTGATTTTCACAGATGGTTTCACGCCGGATCCTAGGAAGAAGGAACGTTTGCCTGATCGTGTAGGAGCTGTTCTTTTTGATAGGCGTTTGAAACGGCCTATGCAATTCACGTCAGCTGTCTCCAAAGCCGTTAAGAGGCGGTGGCTTGGGCGCTCGACTCAGATTGTTCCTGTTGAGATGGTCGCAGCTGTTCTAGCCCTGGAGACTTTTGCTGATAGGATCCGTGGTTCAGATATCTTATTGCTCATAGATTCCGAGGCTGTTGAAGGTGCCTTGATCAAAGGCTACTCGAGCCGAGAGGATCTCTGTCAATTAATATCTGTATTTTGGGATCTTGCATTTCAGCTCCGAGTGAGAGTTTTTATCGATCGGATCTCAACTGATGCCAACCCAGCCGATTGGCCATCAAGAAATAAACTTTCCATAGGCGAGGCCGCAGGCTGGATCACAGTGAACCCCTGCTGGCCGAAGGCTCTGTTTGAGACTTAGGAGAGGGCCTGGGTCAGTGACTAAGCTCAACTTCATTTGCTCTCACCACATGCTTTGACCTGCCTGTGAAAGGCTCTGTGTTTAAGCGTTGTTTGGTTTGAGTCTATTTTTGAGCCTGGTCATTTGGCTTATGCATCTTACTGATCTGATGATCTGATCAGTGTCTCTGACAGTGACCTGCTCGCCCCATGCCCTGAGCAGCGTCCGCAAAAAGGATCTTTTTGCACATGCAGCTGTTCAGGCGCGTCGGTTTCTTGGATTGGGTTCTGATCAGTTAGAAAGTAAGAGGGATTCTCTCTTACGTTCATGAACAAGTGAGTCGGTTGCATATCAACGGTTAGGTAGGTTTGGGATAAGCAGCTGACTCTCATGATGCATGTTCTAACTCGATCGTTTCCCTTGCGCTCTATATATATTATAATATCTCTCTCGAGTTTATTATATATATATATATGGAGTCTCCTTTTATTTTATACCAAGTGCAGTGTCCTGATGTGATCACTAAGGACTCGATGCGGTCGTTTGCCATTTTGGCACAAAGAACGAGTGATCACAGTCAGGCCACAGCTCTTTTTGATCACCCAACCCAGCCCGCCCTCGTGAATGAGGGTGGGCTGGACTTCCAGCCCACACATTTTTCGGTGGGGTCAGTGACTAAGCTCAACTTCATTTGCTCTCACCACATGCTTTGACCTGCCTGTGAAAGGCTCTGTGTTTAAGCGTTGTTTGGTTTGAGTCTATTTTTGAGCCTGGTCATTTGGCTTATGCATCTTACTGATCTGATGATCTGATCAGTGTCTCTGACAGTGACCTGCTCGCCCCATGCCCTGAGCAGCGTCCGCAAAAAGGATCTTTTTGCACATGCAGCTGTTCAGGCGCGTCGGTTTCTTGGATTGGGTTCTGATCAGTTAGAAAGTAAGAGGGATTCTCTCTTACGTTCATGAACAAGTGAGTCTGCGGCTTATTGCAATTTGTTGCAGCTTGTTGTTTGTCGCCATGGCGCCGAAAGAGTTCGGAAAGCAGCTTTAAAGGGAGATCCGATTATTGGAAGATATCTGGAAAGTCAGATATCCGCTTTGGACAAAAACACATCAGTTTCACTATATGCCTGATATATCCATTTTCTCTCACAGACTCAGCTGGACAGTGATCATCCTAGTCAATCCTAGTCAGACACTGCAAAGGATGCAGACCCACAAGCCATTCGCGAGGCACGCAGCATTTCAAATGTCAGTGCAAAATGCTCACTTTGAACACTGTTTGTCAGCATCATTCCAGATCGTGACTTCTCAGGTTTGAGTTAGATTCAGTTAGATCCTATGTTTGGAGAAGTTCCTGCTTTATTTGGATTCACCGACATCATGTCAATCATGTCATCCTGCTTTGTTTTGTTTCATTTTTCTGAGAACTCCGTCCCAAGGCCTACCTCCGATTGGTCCGGAACCATCACCCAGATTCGCGTCAGCGTTGCAGTGAAGGTTATGAGGAGTTCTTTGGCTCGGGAATTCCGTGGCACTTTTGATCTAGCCAAATCTAGCCTGATACTCTTGATACTCTGGATGCTCTTGATATAAAGGGCATTTCCTCTTTGACCTTTGAGTTCCATGCCATTGCACTGCGTGTGATGTCTTTCGGGGAAGAGTCCTAGATTTCACTTGTCTTTTCTTGTAGGATCTTGCCAGATTGTGCAAGAAATATGTTTCTTACTGATGTAGCCTCCTTGAACCTGACGCTACACGGCACTTTCGGGTTCGAATGTGCCTGCAGTCTCACGCTTTGGCCATGATCTCATGGGGATTGTTTAGACCCCTTTGACTTCTTTGGACTTGGTTCGAGAGCACGGTGCAGTGTGGTCCAATGTGGTCCATGCTGTTCAACCATGTTCAACCCTCCTGTGTTTGGTTTGGCCGGTAACACTGAGGTTCTCGAAGCTATCCGTGCCTTCGCCAAGAAAGTGCTGCTTTGTTTCCCTACCTTTTCCATCCTTTTTGGGGAGAGTCTTGAAACCAGAAAGCACCAGAAAGCATTTGAAACCCTCAATCTGTCTTGATCATGTCCATCCTCATGAACCTGGACTGCACGTCACCAAGCATTATGTTTGTCTTATTGGTACCGCTTGAACTTGTGCTTTGGATAAACCTGTGCCGGATCCGATTTGCAGACAATGTGATCGGCACTGCAAGGGTGCTATTGATGCTATTCCTTTGATCTGTTTGAAAATTGTTGCTCAAGTTTGCACGCAAAGCATGACAAAGACATGAGAGATTCTTAGTCTTTTTTTTTCGGCATACTTCTGCAATAGACTGCTTGTGTAAGCGGTAGGATTTGGTCGATCAGTTTCATAAAGCACATGCCCCTGGCCTAAGAAGACTAAGAAGTTGCTGAGGAGGCATATCATCATCTAACGCGGCAGCAAGGACAAGGAGCGCAGAGCAATCCTCGCCACCAGGACCGGAATACAGCAGAAATGTTCATTGCTCTACATTTGATAGAAAACACTTGCTACATTGCCGCATGGGATTTTTAAAGTGCCTTTGAGAGTTCAATCTGTTCGTTTGTAGGAAGATAGTGTAACTTTATGTAACTTTATGTAACTTTTACATGTATTGCATCAATTTACAAAATTTACATCACAAGTCAAGCATTGAGTCAGACCTTGATTTTCCTGGCGCCTTGGCAGGAGCGGTTGATGTTGCAGTGGATTGGCCATGAGGAGCAACCAATCTCTGAAATGCAGATGTTCAAGTCCGGGGCATAGCTATGCCCGGTTGAGAGGTGTGACCTGGTGACGTTTGATATACCAATGTGTACTATTGTATACTACTATTGTATGCTATTGTGTTGCATGTTCATGAAACGTTTTAGCTTGAACTTGTAGAATTCAGTGCTTAATTTGACAACCAGGTCTCGCTTGCTCACAGTGATTGGCGAGTTTCTTGGCATGGGACAAGTTTATCGTGTCACAGTATGTGATGTAAGTTGAACTTGAAATAGGAAACACAAGTCATGTCCAGTTGCCAAGGAAACATATATGTTCTAGAGCCGAAAGTGGTTTAATTCGTGCCAGACATCCTGGGTGGATGCTAAGCATAAGTATTCCTTGACCATTTGTTTGATGGTCCGCTGCGAATTTGCCAAGCTCAATTCAGTGCAACTGAGAGATCCTTCAGAGTCTTGCAAGTTTTCAGGTTCGGCGAGAAGGGTTTGCCTCTAAGCTCTTTGCGCAAAAAGTACGCACAGGTTGGGGACTTGCAGCAAGTCTCGAATGCGCCTCGAATATGTCAAATGTATTCAAAAGTTGAGCCTCGTACCTCTCTGCAAGCACAATATTTGTCATGTTTTCCAACCTGAGAAAGAGGCAACGCTCAGATTTCAAGACAGCTCATGATAGCTCATGTCCCGTCAGCTGCGCTAGATAGCAAGAGCTGTTGGAGAAATCCAACCCAAACATCCTCAGAAGTCATCAGAATAGTCATTAATTCTATCAGATTTGATTTCCTTGTAATCGATTCATCGCGTTCATTGAGTTCATTGTCTGAATGATTTCCAAATGCCAGGTTTGGTCGGGTCAAGCCTGGAACCCAGCCAAACTCCTTTCATCTCCTTTCAGATTGTTTCTTTTGAACCTTTTGAACCGGCATTTTAAAACAGAAAGCTTTCAGCAAACCAAAGTACCATCACACTCTATGGGCCAGTGGATATCTTTTGCAGATTTGATGCAGTACATTTGAGGCGTTGCCTGAACCGAGAGATTTCGGATTACGGAAAGGTTGTGGCCTCTTGGAGAAACTGGGCCAAATTATTATCGGATGGGGCATGGCGGGCATGGTTGAAAGGAGTTTGGCGACATGGAGATATTCAACGAGCTTCCCACATGTGTTTCATTAAAGTGGAAGTTCAAGCCAGCTTCCTTTGAAATAGCTGAGACTTGCACATTTGGAAGATAAGTGGGCAGGTGTTTCAGTATCTAGAACTTGTGAGTTCATGGAACCACCGATGCCACTTACAAGAAAATCTTGACAACGATGGTGTGTTTTAGGGGTTTGAAGGCAAAACATAGCTTTTCCGACAGCATGTGACTCAAACGATTCCCAGAGCAGAAAATTGGCATTTCAATCCGGGGGGGCCAGCTGGAATGCAGAGCCTTCATTACATGGAAGCCTTATGTACACTCATGAAATTGGTACTTGAGACATCCCACAAATATGCTATGTGCTTGGAGTTGTGTTTGTAGTAGCCAGTATGAAAGTTTGAGTGCCCAGAATTCAAATTAAGAATCGCTGTAGAGATTCCATATGCATTTGAATCGCTCCCTGAGATTCCTGCAATTTTGGGATGAGGATGCTACGTCATGTGGCTGGGGACGTGCTGTCCGTGGAAATGCAAGCTCGTGGCCAGGATGGGGTGTCAGAAAAATAACGACATGATGAAAGATACGGGAACAAAAATGATCAAAAATGTATCCATTCCCGTTTTTCGGATTTGATTGGCCCCCATGGAGAGATCCAAGCTGTTGAATCACGTTGAACCGTTCATCTCACACGAAATGTGTTTGTGCATTCGCAGTACGAACAACGACTGGTGGAAGGACACTCGATTGCACCTTCTAAGTTTGACGCCAGGATCCAGTGCTACACACAAAAGGGCAGGAAGTGACAAGTGAGACCGATTGCTCTCTCGCCAAAAAAAGGTCAAAGCAGCGGTGGTGGAATTATTACATGTGCAATACATGTGCTTATTAGCTGTCATACTATCGGAAGAACGATGTGTCGTATCAGCTAGACGACCTGGCTGATGGTCTGTTCTGAACGTCGAGAAGATGATGCAACGGTAAATTCTATTGCTACCAAGGAAACATGAGAAGAAACCTATGTCTGGACGATGGGTATTGAACAAAACATTGTCTTATAAGTTGTAAATTGAACCTTATCCGCTAGACTGACAAGAGTGTCGTAAAATGGTGCCGGAAATCCCTTGCATGTCCTTTTTTTACAAAGAAAATCATTTACTCATATGAACAACGCTTTGACCCGGATGCTGTTTGAGTTTCTGACTTTTTAGCGAATCGCTCTGCCAAAGAACTTGCAAATGAACCCCACTATGTTTCTTGCATATCCTGCTGCTGGGCAACTTGTAAGTAGTAGAACAGCACAAGAATTCCACGGCACTTCGCCCTCTTACAACGAAAGCACTGATCTCCCCCTGCCAAGACCCTAATAATCCGCACGATGAAGACCCTAAAGGCCCATAAAGATCCATAAAGAACATAAAGAGACCCTTACATATACATCATATACGTTGTATTCACAAATATTCACAAGGCACAGAGATTCAGAATGCGTTGAGTCAGCGGCTCAGCGTGCCATGCCGCCCAAGAAGAAATTCAACCGTGAGCGCCGCGAACGCCGTGCAGAGCTACGACAGCAACGTTTGGGGCAAACGTTTAACCATGTGACTTGGCATCATATGGCGCCACTGAAGTGTTTCCAAATGCAAGGTGTTCACATGTTTTCACATGTTTTCACATTCATCCCCAATTTCTGAAGTCTCATCTGGCTTTTAGTTGATATGTGGCAGTACAGAGTGTGTGAGCTGCGGGACCAGTACATCTCGCCTCTGAAGAATTCCTCAGTCGAACTCGAAGTCGATGCGGCGTGGCCACGTCGGTCCAAGGTCATTTCTTTGGGTTCAACTTGTCTTCTCGCTCGGCACTTGCAGATTCTTGGATGCAGTGTGACAAGACTGCTGAAACATGGTCAAAACTTTGAGCCATGACAAGTTGGTGAATGTATTGATCCCAAAATGGCGGATAAAGGGCCTTAAAGGGGCCATGGCTGCTGTTTCTTCTACTGGCACCTGACATGCCAGTTGAGCACAGTTGAGCCCTTTGAAGTTCATATTTTTGTGCTGCCATTTGGGGCTCGAGTTCCCAAGCGCCCCAGGCGTCCTTCAAAACTTGGCCTGGGAACCTGAATCGTAGCAGGCCACAGCAAGGCTAGAAGCATGGATTTGATCAGATCACTTCAGGCATCATGTGCTGCCAAATGCGCCAAATGCCGGCATTTGAACAGCTGAGACACAGTGGGTCCAAGCTCAGACAGAACTTGCTGATGGTGTGAAGGTCGAGAAGGAGAATCAGGCTGAGCAGGAAATCAGTCTTGAAAGCCAGAAGCGGAAGATGGAGATGGATGATCTTTGGCTCAAGGTTCACCAGATCAATGATGGCCTGGATTGCATGAAGATGTAGCCTTGGATGATGGATTTGCCCACTTCTGTTTGGGCTCGCGGTAGGGCTTTTGATGAGAACGGTCTTCGCCGGCTCTCACCCACAGGTGGCAGCCACGCCATGCCAGGTGTGGAAGTTTATGCATCTGTAGGGGGCAGAAGAAGAAAGAAGTGAAACCTACAGACAAAGACAACAAGCAACCATGGAGCAAAAGCCGAGGGGAAGAAAAGCAGAGTGACAAATATCACCTGGAGAAATTGTACAGCTGGTGAACTTGCCAAAAGTTGAATCATGTCCAATTCAGATAAGATTTGCCAGACAAAACGCACCCTCCAGCTGGAAAAGTGCATGGGCCGACGCAGCTCGAAGCCGCCAAGGCCTTCCATGCAGAGCTCGTGGCGAAGGGCTTCCCAAGTTCACCAAATTCACCAGCGAAGTAAAATGTGAGTGGTGTGATGTGGTGCAAGCGATCACCGGCTCCATCAGAAGGGAAGCTCGCTGGGGTTGTACAGCCATGGTCCTGGAGAACAAGGATTCATAATTTTAACTATCAGAGAATCTTGAATCAGACTGCTGCACGGCTAGACGGGAAGGGCACAAACCAAGACAGCTTGGACGTTTGAGACGGAGTTGAACTTGACAGGATTCATGCTTGACAGGGTCAGGGAGACTGCGTACATTTGGGCATGCTCCGTTCAGAATCAGGACAGCAAGTTCTTGACAAGCACTTGAATATCTTGACAAGTCTGTGTTTTTCTTGTGAAAAGCCCGGCCTGCAGAGAAAGGTGAAGTTTGTGGCTACTCTCTCGGAACTTCCACTGTTCAGAAGTGATTACGGAGTGATTTGCTTCCAGGCTGGGCAGCAATGGCAAGTTGCAATGCTGCTGGTGTGCAGCGAAACCTCAGGGCAGACTCAGAGCCGGAGCTGGAGCGCTCTTTCAGCGTGGCTGTGGCATGGAAGAAGCAGGAGAAGGGAAGGTAAGAGACGGCCGTGCCCAAGACGAAGCCCGGGAAGAAGGCCAAAAGCAAAATGCCATGGAAAAGCGGGCAAAGCTGATAGATCGGATAGATTCTAACATTTCATTGCTCAGTTTCTGACACCGCGAGCTGTACAGACCATCCTTTTGTAGCATGATGTGCAATATTGTGCAATAAAGATGTCAAGAATGACTTTCTTCCCATCGATTCGTTTGCAATCACATTGGGAAAATCGAAAATATTGTTTTGCACATTTGAGCTCAGGTTTTGACTTAAAACAAGAGATTTTCAAGGGGCAGTCAATTTGTTGTTCTTTTCAAACTGGTTGGTTGCTTAGGAGAATGGTGAACCCCAATTCAGCAATCGATTCGATAGGTAACTAGGTAACTAGGTAAATGATTATCAACAGCTCGAGAATGATGATGATTCAAGGTGCATCTGGGGCCTGGAGGCACCCAGGGCCTGATGAATCCGATGAACAGGTGATAATCTGTTTGTTGTTCAACACAAGGACGCACGTGGCACCCTTTTTAGATACCCTGATAAAGTAACTATGCTGTTTAAAGCAACAGAGTTCGTATCAGTGTTCAATTCCAAACTTCAAGAAAGCTACCACAGCTTAGAACGATTTAGAACACCCTAGTGAACTTAGTGGAGAGAAGTGGTATCAACCTGAAAGTGAGATAGCCGGACCATCTTGGACCATCATTTAAAAACAACAAAACAAGAACCAAGACACAGGTACGACGATGAAAATGAAAGGGTTCTAGAGGCCCCATAAAATCTGTTGGAACAATGTGTCAAAGGTTTTCATGTTGCTACCATGTTGCTGCCATGTTGCTACCGTGTCAGGAACAAAGGCCTGCGCATGGCCAAGTTCCCTTTTGATTGGATGTTCTCCACTCCATATTTGGTGCGTCATGCGTTGAGTGACAACTTCAAGACCTTCCTGGATCCCAAACAGCGGCATGGCTGCCATAGCCACATCAGCGTCGCCGAATGTTCAAACAAGTTGAAGCGCCTCCAAATCTTTGGAGTAAAGCTGGAATAGTAGACCAAGCATGTAGACATATTTGCATCCCTGCATGTATGGGTTGAAATGGTTGGCTTTGGCTGCACATTAGAAGAAGGCAAGATTCATCATCTCATTGTACAACGTGCCAATAGTAGGACTTAGGTTGCGGTAGGGTTATCCGCTTTTTCATCAAGATGTTGACAGCTTATGACCTTGCTTCTGTTCACTTTTGAAATCCAGGAAATCCAGGTGGAAGTTCTGTGAGGTGTTTTTGTTGAGGTCTTCTCTGTCGCACTCTCAACCTCCATCTGAAACAGAACTTGCCCTTTTGAGCAAACCAGGCGAAAGTGACAAGGCAACAAGGTAAGCATGGCAAACGTGATTTGGTTGGCCCCAATCAAGGTACAGCCGAACTTCAACCGGCAACTCTATGTGAATATTAGCTGGTTGGGCAACAATTGCGATTGGGCAAATGAGAAAGATTTCACAGTCGTTGCAAGTGCATGCAAAAGGCTGAAAGCATCGTTGGGATTTTGACTGTGACTGTCAGCATTGGTCATCAATTGCACATTTGCTTTATGTTTGCAATTCTAAGGAGGTCGCAATGTGGGTACCCATCACAAAGTCTATCGATTGATGCAAGACACCAAGGCACCAGAGTGATGTTTTTGTGCCCTTCAAATCATGATTTAATTCTGGAGGGCTATTTTTTTTTTGTTTTTTTTGGGTGATTATTTTTTGTTTTCCAGCCTGGCTTTTGTGGCTTTTGTGGGTGTGTGGCTTTTGTGGTTTTACCATGCTTTACCTATCTATCTATTCTAGCCTAATCTAATCTAATCTAAACTAATCTTATCTTATCTCATTTTATTTTGTTTTATCTTATCTATCTAATGTATCTAATCTATCTAACCTATCGAACCTATCTAATCTATCTAATCTATATAATCTAATCTATCTAATCTAATCTGTTTAACCTATCTATTAATCTATCTATTTAATCTATATATTTTATCTATCGATTTAGTCTATCTATTTAATCTCTCTATTTAATCTGTCTATTCAATATGTCTATTTAATCTGTCTATTTAATCTGTCTATTTAATCTATCTATTTAATCTATCTGTTTAATCTATATATTTAACCTAATCTACTGTAATCTCATCTAACCTTACCTAACCTAACCTAACCACACCTAACCTTACTTATCTATCTATCTATCTATCTATCTGTTTGTCTGTCTGTCTGTCTATCTATCTATCTATCTATCTTTATATACTCACCTTGTATCCCTACATGTACCTTAATCCAACCCTCAACAGACTTTAAATCGACCATTAACCAACCCTAAAGAACCATAATTGCCATAAATAACCCCAAATGACCCTAAACCAACCATAAACCAAACCTAAATAAACCCTAAACCAACCCTAAATAAATCTAAGCCAACCCTAAATAACCCTAAAAAAACTCTAAATCAACCGTAAATAAACCCCAAACGAACCCTAAAACAACCCTAAATAAACCCTAAACCAACCCTAAATAAACCCTAAACCAACCAACACTATGATAGCATCCAATGCCATTATTTAGACCCAACACGGTTGTGCTTCAACCTATATTCTACATGTTCACCAGGTGCATGTTATGCATGGAAAAATCAATCAAAACCATGGAAAAATCAATTGAAACCATGGAAAACTCAATGAAAACTATGGAAAAATATCAAAAACTTTGGGTAAATCAATGAACACCGTGGAAAAACCGGCTAAAACCATGGAACATCGATGAACAGTGCAAATGGCGCATGTTAGCTCCAAAATTCAGCAAAGTACAGGTTTTTGCTCCAAAATGTAGCAAATAGCAAGGAAAAGTGCCCCAAACTGAAAAACAAAAAAAATAAAAATAATAACAAAAAAAAACTGCACCCTTTAATTCTTTCCCTTTCTGCAGTCACAGTTTCACACTGAAAGCAAGTATATGTTCGAGATGGCCACATTTTGTTCATCGTGCTCAGGGCCGGAAAGTGCTTTGTCCGCATCATCAGCTGTGGACCGGCGCCCAAACAGCCAAAGTGGACCGGGACTCCTACCGCCGCGCCGTGCAACGCTTGCGCACGGTGCTGACGACGACGTCGCGGACGCTCTTCGTGCTGCTGGTGACGTTGCGCAGCACCGAAGCCTTGGAAGCTGCCAGAGACGACAGCTGGAGCCCAACGGGGCGGGGTGTCTTGGTACAGTAGTTCAACAGGTTCAACAGTGGTTCAACAGTGGTTCAACAGTGGTTCAATTGTCCAGGACGTGCATGGATTTTGATGGGTTTTGGATAGTTTTGGATAGTTTTGGGGTTTCCTGGAATCAAGTGCTAAACTGCTAAACAATCTGATACAGACCGCTGAGTTCATAACACTTCACAAGAATGTACGATGTTCTTTCAGTCCCCTTGGACTGACAAGATGCCTCAGCACTCAGCTGACATACTTCCAAGTGGATATGAACAACTCTCTCTAGGATGGTGTGGCAATGTAGGGTCACTGTAAAGTGCTGTTTCTGGGATTTCATGACTGTTCGCATGGCCAACTGGCGTCAACGGTCAACCAGCACCTCAGGGAAATGTCCGTTGCCAGAGCATGGAGGTCCTGAACTCTGCTCTCGAGCTGAGATCCTGCGTTTGTTCAAGCTCTTGCAAGAGAAACTTGAAATCAAAGAAACAAGAAGTTTGGCTGTTCTACTTCGGAATACTTGGAGATCTTGTTTGCATGTGTTTCCACTTTTGTTGATGGATCTTGGACTTGAAAGATCAATAGCTTCTCATCATAAGCGAAAGATTGAGTTCTCAAAGTCATCGACAGTTTCTTGTGGCTCATCGACTCATCGACCCAGGAAGTGTGCCGGACCTTTTCATTTCGATGTGGTGTATCTCGTCACACCCAGGGCACAAGCTACAAAGCACGGAAGTGTACGGAGCAGGGCTTCGTGCGTGGCTTGCAGAGATTTCATTGCCGTAAGGCTTGCAAGGCCTTGAGTGGTTTCGATTGTTTTCATTTGCTGAGTTGTTTGTGTTGCCTTCCATTTGTCCTCAACCGGGCGTATCGCACCTAGCCCAGGTTCTCAAAAAGAATGGTCGAAAAGGGAGATCGTTGAAGATCAGCGAAGTGTGTCTTGTCCCTCGCACAGCTGTGTTGGAGACGTGCAGCTAAATCACCAAGTTGTCAAGAGCCACTCTTTGAGAAATGCACTGCAGAATGACGTGTTTCATTTCTAGCAGCCCCACATGGCGCTTGTGCAAATTTGAGGTGCAGCAATTTTTTGGCATCCCAGCACCTTGGTAGGAAATCTTGCTTGTGTCGCCCCTGAGGTATTGCAAAGGGGACAATACAGGGCTGGTCTTTCAAGAAGAAGCAGACATGCTGGCTTTCCACAACATCCTGACAGAGTGTGGATACAGAATCCTTGCTGCAAGAATTATTGGACCACTTGCTGTGCCTTCAAATGTCAATTGTTTTCTGTTTCCTGTGCTGCGAGCAAGGACGCTTTGCCCTATCACAGGAGGATGGGTCCAAGAAAAATGGCGATGCCGAGGCATAGCCACTTAAAGACTTAGCCATTTCTCCTTGGCAATTGCTTTTGACTTTGGTTTAAGGTGATTCAAATTAGATTTGATGATATTTGCATGGCAGGGGTAGCTTCAAGTCTTCAAGTTGAAGCGAAGCCAAGTTGTCCAGATCCCTGAATTTCCCAAATTGAGTGCCTTGTCAGGCCATCAAGCGTCCCAGAGAGAGAGGGGCACAGGAATCCGTGAAGGTTGATTTCAAACGCAACTAAGCAGCAGATGCGATCAGCAGATTCAAAATTTTGAGAGGTGTGCAGTTGGGTTTTGGATGTCAGGTCAGTACAAAGCTTCCTGTGCGCTGTGTGGCTGTAAGGACCACAATCACTGAAGAGACGATTGCAATTCGTCCAGAAGAATCCGAAAGTGCAAGGATCTTCAGCTCATCAGCGCTATGAGAAGTACAAGAAGGCACAGCATGGGAAAATGTGGAAGGACCTGCAAAAGTCTAGACTCAGATCTATGACATGGAACTATATCAAATGTACACACATATATAGATATTCATATACCTAATAGATATTTCTACATATAAATGAATAAATAAATATATAGATAAATTAATGAAGAAATAAATGAATAAAATAATAAATCGATGAATAAATAAATAGATACATGAATTAAGTAAATTTATGAATAAATAAATGAATGAATGAATGAATAAACAAATGAATAAAAAACAAATAAATTAATTAAAAAAAAAAACAAATAAATGAATAAATAGATAAATGAATAAATAAATGAATAAATAAATGAATAAATAAATATATGAATAAATAGATGAATGAATGAATAAATGAATAAAAAAATGAATAATTTAATTAGATAAATGAATAAATAAATGAATATATAAATAAATATATGAATAAATAGATGAATGAATGAATAAATGAATAGATAAATGAATAAATAAATGAATTAACAAATAAATAAACGAATAAATCAATAAATAAATGAATAATATATACATAGATAGATACACATAGATAGATACACATAGCGTATGCCTGTCTATAATGTTGCTCTGGAGTTCGGTCGAGGCTAAGACACTTGAGGAGTTCTTGGACCTCGGCGGCTGGAAAGGTGATTTCCACAATGACCGGGCCCATGGCTTTCTGTCTCTCAGATGACGAACAACAGCTTGCCCAGCTTGCAGCTTTCGTGGAAAAGATGCGTTGACTGTTGCTTTGGAGCAACTGAGAATTCAGCCTCCTTTTCTTTGGGCTACAGTACCTCTTCAGCAACCTTGTGTCTGAGTTATTACTAATTGGTTGCCCCAAAGTCTTCTGGTAAATCGTTGCTTTCCCATTTCCCTATTGAAACCACTCAGCATGTATGTCCATTTTTTCCAATGAGCCCATGTTCTTTGATCCATGTTTTCTTTTTGCTGCTTCTCTAAAGCAGCTCCTCTCTGAACCACCACTTCTTTCCATTATATACCTGTTACCTTTTCTCGGAGCTACCTCTTTTCTGTCCATGACCGCACTCGATTCAGCTGTTGAGCCATTGAGACTCTGTGCAACACCACATCCAGCACCATGTAGGGGTTTTTCCAGCACCAAAAGGAATATCCTAGGTTTTTCTTGACAATATGGTGGACGATTGTGGCTTCTGAAAGCAGAAGGATGAAACAAACGGATCATTATGGAAGGATTGATTATGATTTGATGGATTTGATATTGTTATATGGTCATCCGCTTTTCACAAGTACAGGCACTCTCCATCTACTGGTAAGCATGGGGATGATTAGAGGTTTTATCTTACATTGTTGGTGGTTTGACATGCTCATACTAAAGTCCATTGGATCCATTTCTACTTATCGCCCCTTGCGCATATCGTGCCTCAGCGATGACCATGTTCATCGCAAGGCATGCTTGGGGGGGTACGGTCGCCGATAGTCTTTCAAGTCAGAATGCAACAATCGAACTTCTGAACAATCAAAAACGAGAATAGTTTTGACCAACTATTTCGAGCAAATTTGGCAAAACATAATCTTTGGGTCGCAGAATTTAGCCATTTGGGAAATGAAATTGCCGCAAAAATGTTAGAGTTCCTGAGCAACATGGACGGGTGGAGAACTGTTTGTGTATCCATCATGTGGTACGAGAATGATCAACCTACCTAGTTCCAAATGTTACCGGACACTGCTAGCTGAAGTCCCTCTTGCTTTAGCAAGATATCGGGGGGCTGGAATTTCCAATCGCGAGAAACTTCTCAGTTAACTACCCCCCGCCCTCCCCCCTGGCTGGTGCACAAGCAGTTTGGCCGGGACACCGTCAGCAACATCGGCAGCGTCGGCATCCGCTGCGTGATTTGCATCGTCAATAGGACCTGCCTCATTTCCCTTCAACTCATTGATGCTGCAGCGCTCATAATTGGCATGTTCGTTCATGGGTAGCCTTCATCTTGGCCTAGCTTCATTTTTATGTTGTGCACGCACACCTACCTCGCATCCTCAACTTCGGTCTTGCACTGCGTTGCTTCTTCCCGCGCTTCCAAAGGACCACTCCGATGCCGAAGTTGGACCTTTGAATCTTTCCCAATCACTGGTCATCATGTTGGCTATGCTGAATTTCTTCCTCCTCTTCGTGCAACAGTACATAATAATCATATGATCTCATCCTCGCCCCCTCCAACATACATCGCCGCACCTTACCAACATGTCCCAGCTTCAGACCCCGATCGTCCAGGTTGACTAAAAAGCTGCGCAGCTGCGCTGTGCCCTTTGTGTTTTCGTGCCAAGCTCCCTGCCAAGCTAGCTTTCGTCCCGTACCCCTGGGCTTCAAGTTGGGTCTACCCTTCGGAAGGCTTCGCTTCTTTTTCCCCTTCTTCAAGAAAATCCAACAATGGGTTAGCGACCACCATCATCATCATCATCATCATCATCACCATTATCATCATCATCAGCAGCAGCATCATCATCATCATCATGAGCAGCAGCAGCGGCGGCAGCAGCAGCAGCAGCATCAGCATCATCATGATATATCATGATAGTCATCATCGGTTTGATTGTCAGCGCCATCATCGTCATCATCGTCATCCAGGCCACGCTCCAATCAGCAATGCTACTTTGGCTGCCATTTTGTTGAAAGTCATGCAGCATATGGATGGACACCCAAAAGGTTCGCACGCAAATTTCATGCACTAGCAAGATGTTCAAATTCTTGGTGACTTTTGTATGGTCCGCTGTGATCTGCGATGTTCGGGAGAGAAACCATTGACATTGATTCAAAACAACAACGGCCTGAGAAAAGATAGAAAAGTGAACCAAACTCTTGTCCGACGTGGTGATCTTCATTCTTTGGCGCGTTCATTTCTCCACTTGAAAGTGTTTCCTGTCAAGTCTGCCGTTTGCAAGAACGACCTCAAAACCCCACTCTTGATTGTGAACATTAGCAACTCGTTTTTCGGTCTCTTGCTGTTCAGGCACAATGGAAATATGCAGCGTGCCATAACCACTTATCCCCGAATCTGCGTGGATGAACATCCAAGAAAAGAAAAAGTTGTCTCTTCATTCTTGGAAAACCAGATGTCAACGGGGTACTCATAGTTTGGAAAATTAGATATGTATGGGCCTGTCGGATCACATGAGAAGTCTTAACAGCTCCTCCAAATGGTCTCATTGGTTCCCTCATTTTACAGGAGGTTTATTCAACAAACAATATCAGCATTGCCGTTTGTTATGATTCCCAGCAAACGAGGCGAAGCAAGGATAGTTTTTTATCTGAAGATGAGTTCCATTGTGGGCAGCATTCATGGCTGGACCTGTGGATTGACCTTGCATGGAAGCCACAATGAAGTGCGATCAGAGAAATTGTCGAAAGGATCAAGCCCCAAATTCTGATGCATTACAAGTACTGTGTTTTCAAATAGATCGGAAATTGGGTTTTCACCCAGATAGCGATACATGTGTTTCCATCTATAAGACGAATTTGGTCGGTCCTTTGGCATGGGTTTCTGGCTTCGCCAGGCGATTTGTCATGTTGATGGGCAGGGGACCTTAACGTGGCCTGGGATGTGATGCGACAGCCATGTTTTCACTCGCCCTCCAAAATGGGAGCAAAACAACAGAAGAGATGGAGAATGGTTGAACACAGATTTCATTGGAAGATCTGTGGGGCGATCATCACTGTTTTTGTAGAGGCCTTGGTTTTCTTGGTTTATTTGATGGCACTTGTGGGAAGGGGAGTGCATGCCACAAAAATCAAGGGGGTGCGAAAATCTTGCCACTTGGACAATCAGGAGCCAATGAGATGCATTGCCACCGTTTCAACAAAGGACAAATAAAGAGGCAGTTGAGACTCTTGGATGGACAAGATCATAACCTCTGTTGCGGGGAGTTGTATCTTTCTGACGTTAATGAAGCGAATTTGAAGAGGTGTGCAGGGACTTGGGCACCACAACCGGAATGCCAAAAGCCAAACCAGGGTTGAAACACACTTGAGCCATCTTGAGCCTGTATTTATTGCTGCTTCGGCTGTCATAGTTGGAAGCATGCGCACGGCGAAGTTCTTGCTGGTAATTGGATATTATTATGTTACCAAACTGTTGGGCCGAAAGACAGCACCATTTTTCAAATCTGTAAACCATCCAATCACATTGGTCTGGGTCAAAACTGCCCCCCATGGATGGTTTCCTCTTAGACCCCAGCTCTGTGTGGCTTGAAGTGGCCTCATGCCCTGACCCAAAGTCACTTGCTGGTAAGTTACAAGGCATTGCTGCTGCCAGCGAGGCTATGCCAGCAGGGGGACCAAAGATCCAGTGTGGCTAGGTGAACTCACCAACAATCACGAACCAGGATTTATAATTGATATATTGGTGGAACACCCTTTTTGGTGGTAGCTACAATTTCATGAATCGTAGGAAAGCCATGTTGGCACTAATCGGTAAGTGTCTTCTTGATCGAACATTGGCAGTTCCTTTTTCTCAGAGTACAACTTCACCCCTGTATTTGAAGGTGAACAACGCTCACTTTCACACTTTTTGTTTCCAATCTCTGCCAAAATCATCAAAATGTACCCTTCTTGGAAGGGAAACGAGTGATCATATCACCCAAAAAGGCAAGCCGTTACGTTTAGGCGAACTTGCCGGACGGGCCACTGATTTTAAATTTCAGCGCCAGGAACTCAATGACCGGGCTGGAAGCTGTTGGTAAACAAACTGGTTGGGGCGCCGTGTTGTGATGTGTTTTGGCGTTTGTTCCATTCACCGGGAATAGCTTACTACCTGAACCAACACTTACATGGTGATTTGGTTTTTAGGCTGCTTCAACAGCACCACTTGACTGAACCATTGGCAAGCTCATGACTGTTTGGCTGCGCGGCTTGGTGGCTGAATGTTCCTGATATGTCGTCCTTATGTGTTGGACTCTCTTGCATGGGGTGCCAGCTCTTTCTTTGCAAAAGCCTAGGTCATCGTTCGGAGGATATAGTAGTCAAAGGAACTGATCGGACGAAATGCCAACTGAATATAAATTATGGACCATTGCGATTGCCACATTTGGGGGTAATGTGTTTTTGCGGGGCAACAAAAAAGAACTCTAATCTGCAGTCGGAAAGAACCAACCGATTAGATTTGCTCCCGTTAGGTTGCATGAATGTTGACACACACATACCAATATACTGTGTTCGTTTCATAATATGATGCATAAGTCATTTCAATCAGAATCTATTGCTACAATATCATCAAAGCATGCAATAAATGGCATGAATTTACCCTTTGTCATCATGTTTGATCCTTGATCATATCTCATCATCTCATTTAAATATCCACCAGTACAGCCATCAACCGAGGACCCTACAGCCAGCAAGGTGATGGAGGCCCTTCGCGAGCTTAAGGCCCGAGTTTTGTGCCCGAGAAACGGAGTGGCCCAACGGATGTTTTGATCTTCAAAGGGGTAAAAATCAGAAGTTCATACGGATATGCAGTCACTATGGCTTTGGGAGAAGAAGAATGAAAAAGCTATCCGATACCCGCCGGGGGCATCACCAGTCTGGGGCGAGGATTCGACGGTGCCGGCGCGAGTGTGGAAGCCCAGCGGGCGTTCAAACTCAAGGACTGGAAGTGCACATCCCAACTAGCTTGAGCAGTTTGTTCACTTGGGATGTGAACAGCACCACATGGTTTTCTTCCACAGCGCTGGGATGCGGTGTGATATTGTGCATGCCTT